TCTGTGTGTAGTACGTTACTTACTACTATCTCGTTCTACTACTAACCTACCTACTTACTTACCTTTTACTTTTACGTTTCTTTCGTTTCTTACTAAACGTAACTACTACTCTCTCTCTCTCTCTCTCTCTCTCTCTCTCTCTCTCTCTCACACACACACACACACACACACACACACACACACACACTGGTTTGGAATTAATCCTTTAAAGTTGTATCCCAACCCAAATAACAAGCACTACCTCTGCCCAAAACCGATTTGCATTAGGTGGGCTATTTGATTTCTAAGAGTTGATATACCATAACATACTTTACTACCAGTGGTTTAAAATACGGATTGGCCCTTCACGGTACCGATCCAGATTTGGCCAAATTAGGCAATCCAGATCTGCTGAATCGACAATCCAACCCAAAAAAAAGGAAAATGAAAAAAAGAAAAGAAAAAAGGTTAATAAATGATTTACCCCAATCTATAATTTGTTTGTTTGATGTTTTAAATCATCAAACAAACATATTACAGGAAGGGATCAATCGGTTTTAAAATGGTTAAGGTAGATTCCTGGTTATGGGAGGGAATCATCCTGTTGACCCTCCAAATCCATTCTGGATCTGGACGGGTGATTTTTAAAACATTGTTTACTACTAAAGGAGTATCCTATAGGATGTGGATTCATGTATGTTAATAATTATCTTTTGTTTGAATGAGCTTTTTATTGGTTTGGAATTTCATTGAAGAGGTCTTATTCAATCAATTCATTGACGTTACTCCACCTGTTCCCCACCTTTTTCTTTCTTATTAATCCTGACTGGTTCTGACCTGAATTCAGTATTTTTACGAATGGAACCTGCATTTAATGATTTATGAACGGTATCAAGGCTACATATTCCACACAGCAAAAAATCAAAAGATTGATTCTGTGACGAATAATGGTTCTTGGAAACATTTGTTCTCTTCATTTATTCCTTGTATTCTCTTCCCTGCGCCTCCTATTGGGTACATTCATATATGTAGTAGCCAATAGGAAGCTTGGCATAGTCACAACATTGCTATTTCCATTGAATCAAATCACTAATGCGATAGAGGGATCCAATTAATTTCTGATATATTGTCGAATGATAAAAGATAGTAAAAACAAGCAAAGGTCTCTTTTTAGCTATTTCATTTTTCTAATTGCTTGTTTCTTCCTTTATTCCAATGGGGTAAAAAGGGAAATGCTTGAGATCTTCATTGTCCGTTCCAGTTTTTCATGCACTAATCGTGATAGCAACTAGTCAATAGTAGTTTGTTATAAGGGTTGGATTGACCAGATGTCCCTGAAATGTGTGTTCTGTTTTTATCTTTTCCATCCATCTCCAAATACTATCTTTGAGTCTTTTATTTGAGTTTGTGTTAATTTTCATTTTCGTAAGTCAATATTGATTTACTCATATTGCTTTCTTTTTATCATTTTGTTGCTTTTTTTTTTCAGGGGAATATATCTGAATCTGCGTGCTCGGTCTGCTCTTGCTGCCATAAAGAATGCATAAATATTGGTACCATAAATGCTTAGTTATGAAACTTTCTTTTTTAGAGTGGGTTTTCTGATTATTTAGTAGTGGGATTGCCATGAATGGCGTTGGTGATATTTTTAGTTAAAAGTGTGGAAAAAAGATCTCCCCATGGGAAATATAAACTTTGTTCCTGTTGAAATTTTGTGTTTTTAATTATTTGTTATTGAAATATCGTGGAATAAATGTAGAAAATTAGGAGGTTATCTTATATATTTGTTTCTAGTTGGATGATCATTGTGCTATTATCGTTCTTAGATGGAAAAATTTCATCTGAACCATCCATCTAAATGGATTATAGACTATCTGAATCATGCGATAAATGATATCCCGGGCAAGTGAGTGCTACCTCTCTCTCTCTCTCTCTCAAGTGCTGAAAATAATGTAATGGGGGAGTATGCTCTGCAGAGCCTGTTGGTTTTCAGGTAAGTGGGTGCTGCTGCTCATCTCTCTCTCTTGTCACCTCCATCACAGCCTTACCTCTTACGACTGCAGTCTCCCTCTGACCCACCACCAAAACAGCCTTACTGTTACTCCCCTGAGCACCACCTCTTGTGACTGCATTTTCACCTTGGAGCTACCTTTACCGCTACCGCTATCATTCCCACCTCACTCACACCACTGCCGCTGCCACCACCTCGCTGCCCTTCCATTGCAACACCGAGACAATTATGGCTCACTTCTGCCGCACCCTTGTTAACTTGGCAAAAAAAGAAGAAAGAAACCAGTTTTACCTGCATATATAGATGACTGGGGATTTGTTTGGCCTTGTAAACAGGGACTAAGCTTCACTAGATTCACTAGATTGGAGACATTGGACTAATTTAATGAGAAAGAAACCAACCATTCCTGAATCAGATGTGAACCTGGATATTTGCTATTCCAATAAAACTTGTCTTTTCTCTAAAAGTCCTGCAACACTTTACTTGATGTTTTCGTTTGAAGGGTGTGTAAGATTTGTCATGATCTATGGAAATGCAAGATTTGTCGTGATGTATTACTTTGAAGGACAAGTAGGATTTGAACATTTCTTCAAAAGGTGTTTTTGGAAGAACTCTACAATTATTATGAGATGTATAGGTCAATTATCGTTTGTCAGTAAAAACTGTATTTTGTTTAAATTGATACCAGCTTTTAGATTTTTGTCACTTACCAAAAAAAAAAAGCTTTTAGATTTTTGTCTCTTTGCAAACTAAGAAAACTATTTAGCGCTTGCACAGTTGGTGACAATTATTGTTGTCGGGATGTTGTCAGCAAGGGTTTTTATCAGGATATTTTCGAGATCAGAAATTTATTTGATATTTAAAATATTGAAGACGTATTTCCTTTGAATATTTCTTAAAATATCTCATCATCATCATACCTTGTTATAAGTTCCGGTTTCTTTTTTCACTAACCATTATCAACAATAGATATCTTTTCGAAGAGAAAGGGGAAAAGAAAATTATCAATAATAGATATCTTTTCAAGGAGAAAGGAAAAAAAAGAAAAGAAAATGCTGCATAAGAGTTGATACAATACCAAAGAGGATCACCTTGGAGAAAACCAAAATAGAACTTGTTCATATGAAGAAAATAGACACTTAAATAGTATTATATAATTTTAAAATCAAGATCAATATTTTTTATTTATTTTATTTTTATATATTAACAGTGGGAATGAAGGCTGGGACGTTATTGTTGAGGCCAAAACCAACCATTTTTAAGTTGCAATATGCTCGTTGATGGCTCAAATGATCACCTCTCACTCTCGATGCACAAGCAACTCGTTGTTACGTCCTAATTTTATACAAGAAGTAATAGTTACATGGAAAATAACTCAATGGACTACTGCAGGCCCTTTATTTAAGGGTATGGTTTGCAACAATCAAAGGAAGGTGCACTTCCAAATTTTATCATAAGGTATAATTTTGGCGTCAAAAATTCTTATAATGCCCTGAACTTCCATTTTTATCTTTAATTTTAGACTCTAAAAAATAGATCAAATCAAGTAAATCTATGAAAACATGAAAATATTAAAAATGGATTGTCTATATATTGTTTTGCAAGATGCACTATTTTTATGACTCAAGAGTTTTTTCTTTTTATTCATACATTTTGATATTGAGGTGATCAATTCTTGACCAATGCTTACTCTTTTGAGAAAGAGAAGAAGAGAAAGAAATTGATATCATAGAGGTAATCATGTATTTTTTCCTTTCTTGATCTTAAATCTTCAAGTTACTCTTATTTGAATTTGAGAATAACTATTGTAATTCTTTTATGGGTGCGGTTTGTACGAGGTTGATGCCCTAAACAATCAAAGGAAGATCGCACCTTCAAACAATGCCAAAATATGTTGTTTTAGTATCATAAATCTTTATGATGAGCTAAAAATTTATTTTCATTCTAATTATGAAATTTAAATATTAAAAAATAATGTAGATCGAGTAGATCTATTAACTCTTGAAAAACTTGAAAATTGATGGTCAAGATTATACATCACAAGATGTACTATTTCCAAGACTTGAAATCTATTTTTTCTCATGTTTATAAATATTAAGGCCTAGATAATCTAATTGAGGGTTTCTCAGCATCAAAACAACCTCTTGTGAATTTTGATTGTTGAGAGCCTTGCTCTTATATAAACTTTTTCTTTTATTGCTTAGTGGATTTTAACTGTAGTGCCCCATTATTTTTTCCCTTTTTTGAAGGTTTTTTCACGTATATTTTAGTTTTGTGGTTGATTTTTAATCATGTGCAAATTTGCATATTTTATATCATTGCAGTTTAATAAATATTTAAAAATAAGTCTTATTTCTCTTTGATTCACGCATAGATGGGAAGACACAATTTCCTAATAAGTCATATCACAAGCCTAGTTAGATACCTTTCTTTTTCCAAGAAAACAGGAAGAAAAAAAATGTGTGTGAATCACGGAGACAAACATAAGCACGATGATTAGCCTGAACAAAAATAATTGGTTGATTTGAAAAAGTTAAAATAGAAGATTGTCTATATTGCAAAGATTTATATGCTCTCATTGACGGTGATGGAGCCAAACCAAAAGAAATGACATGTGAGGAGTAAAAGAACCTACATTAGAAGACGTCAAATGAAACTTCGGCATATTCTCTATAGAAGAATTTTGAAGGGTTGTACAAAAAAAAAGACAATCGGTGATAAAGCTTTGTTAATATGAAAGCTAGTATGTTTGAAGTTTAAAGTGGATGCTTTAATCGCAAAGCATTTAAATGAAACAATGAGAATAACAAATTGATAAGATAGACGATATTGAAAAGCTTCAATTATCACTTTTCATTAAGGAAGAGTGGTGTTTAAATACAAATTGTTCAAAAATGGTGAATGACTAGTCCCTTGATTGTAGGGATTTTCTAACAATAGCTAGTTATCCTAATAATACACAGCTAAAATACGGTTTACAATAGTTGTAGATATACACGGTTAGGAGGTTGAGTCTTCTTCGGACATGGTTAGACTGAATCTTCTTCTGTCACGATTAGACTGAATCTTCTTCTGTCACGATTAGGAGGTTGAGTCCTCATCGACTGATGTGGCAGGCCATGTTACGCGATGCTCTACGACAGGTTACATTACTTATCTTGGGGCCAACCCAGTGTCGTGGCGAATGAAGAAACAATTTACTGTCTCACGTTCATCAGCATAGGTTGAATACCACTCCATGGCCACCACTGCCTGTGAGTTAACATGGATGAAAACATTATTTTCAGATTTGGGCATCCATCATCCTCAACTAATGCATCTCCACTGTGACAATCAACCGCTCTTCACATCACCGCAAGTCCAATTTTTCACGAGAGTACGAAACACATTGAGATCGATTGCCATCAAATCCGAGAAAAGATCCAGAAAGGGCTAATCTGTACTTCTCATAACTCCACCGAACTTCAACTTGCAGATATTTTTACTAAGGCACTCGGCAACGCTCAATTTCATTTTCTATTAAGCAAGCTGGGTGTTCTTCACACTCACACTTCAGCTTGATGGGGAGTATTATAATATGGCTTGCCACATCAGCCGATGAAGACTCAGCCTCCTAATCGTGTCAGAAGAAGACTCAGTCTAATCAGGTTTAAAGAAGACTCAGCCTCCTCACCATGTATATCTACAGCTATTGTAAACCGTATTTTAGCTCTGTATATCTACAGCCTCCTAAAATTGTTTGGAGTAAGAAAATGTTGTATAACGTAAGCTTGACCTAAGGATGGCATGATGGAGGAGAGTCCTTGACGTAATGGATTTTAATCGACAACAGAGCATATATAGTCTTGAAGTTTCTGTGAGTTAACATGAGTGTGAGTGGACCGGCGAAGAATAGGCGGTGGTGATGGGTCGTGATGAAGCACTTGAGGTGATGGCAAATCTGTATGAGAGACTTGAGGTGAGGTAGGAATATGAGGAGCCTCTTTATAACTTGTTTCAATGATGTGTGGAGATAAGTCATGAGTGATGTCAGATCTGGTTTTGGGATGACAGCATGGGTATGAGTTGGGAAAAGTTGTAAATATTTGAATGGGAATTCGTCTTATCTGAAAATAACATCCCTACTGATGTAAATGGTTTTGGTGTCAAGGTCAAACACTATGTCTCCTCGTTGACCCAGGGGGTATCCTACAAAGATGAACTGTTTGGAACATTGATCAAACTTATGGCATTGAGTATCATTGCTATGCACGTAACAAAGACATCCAAACACACGAACATGATCATAGGTAGGTTGTTTTTTTAAGAGAATCTCATAACGAGTTTTTTCAAAGAGAATTGGTGTGGGCATTCGGTTAATTAGGTAACATGCCGTTAAAATACATTCACCCCAAATTTTTATAGGTAGGTTTGCTTGAAATCGCAATGCTCGAGCAACCTTTAAGAGGTGCCGATGTTTGCGTTCATCAATGTCATTTTGTTGTGGGGTATGAACACAGGTTCGTTGATACACAATGCCAAGTTCATTGAATAGGCTTTGCATGACATTGGATAAGAATTCAATTCCATTATCTGTTTGGATTTGACGAACATGATATTGGAACTGATTTTTTACCATTTTAAATAAATGAGATAAAAATTTGTATGTTTCAGACTTGAATCTCATCAAATAAGTCCAAGTAGAACGTGCGCAGTCATCAACAATAGTGAGAAAATAACGTGCTCTAGAGTTTGAAGCAGTGGCATACGGTCCCCAAATATCACAAAGGATTAGTTCAAAAGAAATATCATATT